TACGCACATGTGTAAACCACAAAGGATTCGCGCCCCCCAAAAAGGCAAATCTCTAGGCATCACGTAACACGCTGAGGATTCGCGCTCCATGATACGGCCAGTATATATATATATAAGCACGGACGTAAGACACTAAACATTCGCGCCCAAAAAGTAGGCCATTCTATAGGCACATACGACGTGAAACACAATGGATTCGTGCCCCAAGAAAAGGCCAATTTATCATACGTGTAACACAAAGGATTCGCGCCCCAGGAGAGGGCCAAGACAGCTCCAGGAGGCACCGGGAGGGGCCAAGACAGCCCCAGAAGGCATCAGGAGGTCCCAGGAAGCCCCGGGGAGCCCCGGGAGGCCCCAGGAGGCTCCAGGAGACTCCAAAGCCCCAGAAAGCCGCAGGAAGCTCCAGGAGGCCCCAGGAAGCCCCAGGAGGCCCCAGGAAGCCCCAGGAGACGACCAAGCTATAGACACATACGGTAAACACAAAAAGGATTGTGAAGCTACCCAGACCGCGCAACGCCAGTGACACGCTTCCAACGGATCCATCCTGCGGGCTCCTGGGGCATTCCGCCTCAAAAAGGTCCCGGGAGGCCTCGAGAAACACCCAGGAAGCCCCCAAGAAGACAAACGAGGCCCTAAGAGGCCCCAAACACGGCCCCCCAGGAGGCTTCAAAACAGCATCCGAGAGCCCGACGAGAAACCTGTTTCTCGTCGGCCGCCCCCGCCGCCGCCGGCCGCCGCCGCCCGATGGGGCTGGGTTGCGGGTCCAAGGCCTCCTGGATGTTCGTTTGGGGGTCTCTTGGGAGGTTTCTCGTCAGGCTTTTGGAAACTGTTTTGAAGCCTCCTGAGGGGCCGTTTTGGGGCCTCTTAGGATTCTTTTTACATCAACTTGGGAAGGGCTCTTGCCTATCAGAGGGTGCCGCACAGCACAGGGGCATGTCTAGCACCAAGGATTCCTTTTCAATCAACTTGGCGAGGGGGCTTGCCTAGCATAGGGTGCCGCACAGCAAAAGGCATGTCTAGGGATTATGTTTCAACTAACTTGGGGAAGGGTCTTGCCTAGCAGAAGGTGCCGCGCAGCAGAGTGGCTCAACTTGGAGAGGATGCCGCACAGCAAAGGGGCACGCCTAGCACCAAGGATTCTTTCTTAATCAACTTGGGGAGGAGTCTTGCCTAGCAGAAGGTGCCGCACAACAGATGGGGCACGCCTAGCACCAATGATTTTTTAAATCAATTTGGTGAGGGCTCTTGCCTATCAGAGGGTGCCGCACAGCAAAGGGGCACGTCTAGCACCAAGGATTCTTGTTTGATCAACTTGGCGAGGGGTCTTGCCTAGCAAAGGTGCCGCACAGCAAAAGGGCATATCTAGCACCAGGGATTCTGTTTAAATTAACTTGGGGAGGGGTCCAGCCCAGCAGAAGGTGCCGCACAGCAAAGGGGCTCCCCTTGGAGAGGGTGCTGCAAAGCAAAGGGGCACATCTAGCACCAAGGATTTTTTATCAACTTGGGGAAGGGTCTTGCCTAGCAGGAGGTGCCGCACAACAGATGGGGCACGCCTAGCACCAAGGATTCTGTTTAAATAATCTTGGGGAGGGCCATTGCCTAACAAAGGGTGCCGCACAACAGATGGGGCACGTCAAGCACCACATATTCTTTTTTAATCAACTTGGGGAAATGACTTGCCTAGCAGAAGGTTCCGTTCACCAGATGGGGCACGTCTAGCACCAAGGATTTTTGTTTTAAACAACTTGGGGAGGGGTCTTGCCTAGCAGAAGGTGCCGCACAGCAGGTGGGGCACGCCTAGCACCAAGGACTCTTGTTTGATCAACTTGGGGAGGGCCATTGCCCAACAAAGGGTGCCACGCAGCGGATGGGGCACGTCTAGCACCAAGGATTCTTGTTTAATCAACTTGGGGAGGGGCCTTGCCTAGAACAAGGTGCCGTACAGCATATGGGGCACGTCAAGCACCAATGAATCTTTTTAATCAACTTATGGAGGGCCATTGCCCAACGAAGGGTGCCACATAGCAGATGGGGCACGTCTAGCACCAAGGACTCTTTTTAAATCAACTTGGGGAGGGGTCTTGTCTAGCAGAAGGTGCCGCACAGCAGGTGGGGCACGCCTAGCACCAACGACTCCTTTCTAATCAACTCGGGGAGGTTTCTTGCCTATCAGAGGGTGCCGCACAGCAACGGGGCCTGCCCCCCCCCTCTAATATGCTTGTTTGATCAACTTGGCGAGGGGTCTTGCCTAGCAAAGGTGCCGCACAGCAAAAGGGCATGTCTAGCACCAAGGATTCTTTTGAACTTACCTGGGGAATGGTGCCTTGCCCAGCAGAAGGTGCCGCACAGCAAAGGGGCTCACCTTGGAAAGGGTGCCGCACAGCAAAGGGGCACGTCTAGCACCAAGGATTCTTGTTTAATCAACTTGGGGAATCGTCTTGCCTAGCAGAAGGTGCCGCACAACAGATGGGGCACGCTTAGCACCAAGGATTCTTTTTAACATCATCTTGGGGAGGGCCATTGCCTAACGAAGGGTGCCACACAGCAGATGGGGCACGTCAAGCACCAAGGAGTCTTTTTTAACCAATTTGGAGAGGGGTCTTGCCTAGCAGAAGGTTCCGTTCAGCAGATGGTGCATGTCTAGTACCAAGGATTTTTGTTTTAAATAACTTAGGGAAAGGGTCTTGCCTAGCAGGCGGTGCCGCACATCAGGTGGGGCACGCCTAGCACCAAGGATTCTTTTTAGATCAACTTGGGGAGGGCCATTGCCCAACAAAGGGTGCCACACAGCAGATGGGGCACGTCTAGCACCAAGGATTATTTTTAATCAACTTGGGGAGAAAGCCTGTCTAGCAGAGGGTGCCGCACAGCAGATGGGGCACGCCAAGCACCAACTATTCTTTTAATCAACTTGGGGAAGGGTCTTGCCTAGCAGAGGGTGCCGCACAGCAGGTGGGGCACGTCTAGCACCAATGATTCTTTTTTACTCAACTTGGGGAGGCTTCTTGCCTAGCAGCGGGTGCCGCCCAGCAAAGGGGCACGTCCAACACAAAGGATTCTGTTTTAGAAACCAACTTGGACAGGGGTCTTGCCTAGCAGAGGGCGCCGCACAACACATGGGGCACGTCTAACATCACGGGTCTGTTTTACCAGCTTGGGGAGAAATCCTGCCTAGCAAAGGGTGCCGCACAGCAGATGGGGCACGTCAAGCACCAACTATTCTTTTTAAATCAACTTGGGGAGGGGTCCTCCAGTAGGGGTCTTGCCCACAAGAAGGTGCTGCACAACAGTTTGGGCATGTCTAGCACCACGGATTCTTTTTAAATCAACTTGGGGAGGGGTCTTGCCTAGCAGAGGGTGTCGCATAGCAGATGGGGCGCGCGTTGTGTTAGGCACGGAGAGCGTAAAATAAAATGGCACTTTCAAATTACAATTGTGAGGGGAACACGTTGAATACTGGGCCTGGTGAAGAGAAGGAGCATCTTCACAGGGAAT